GCCTGGCGCAATATGGTTCATGGGGTCACGAAGAGTTGGACACGACTTAACGACTGAACAAATGGCTTCAAATTAGATTGGAGGGAGTATTGAGTGGAATACCACAGGGTTCTGTTCTGGGTCCTAAGTTGTTCAACATTTTTATTAATAACTTGGAGGATGGAATTAAGGGGACATTTTTCAAGTCTGCAGATGACACAAAGATCAGAGAGGTGTCTAATACTTTTGAGGAGAGAAGGATGATTCAAAAAGATCTAGACCAGTGATGGCGAACCTTTTGGGCTTGATGTGTCAAAAATTCAGAAAATGCCTAACTTGACTCTGCTGGCATGTCACCCCCCCCTGAAAAAAAGAGAAATAATTCTTTACATCTTCATTTATTTAAAAAAAATACACTCCAGTCATGTGTGGTGCTATGTATTATATAAAGAAACATCAAATAATTACAAAAATGAAATATGAGTAAAACAAACTCAGTTATTATATAAAGAAACATCAAATAATTACAAAAATGAAATATGAGTAAAACAAACTCAGTTATTATATAAAGAAACATCAAATAATTACAAAAATGAAATATGAGTAAAACAAACTCAGTTCCTTTGTTTTGGGAGAATAGTTGTTGTCGGGTGTGGTGAACACTGGCATGTCACCCAAAATGTGGCGTATCATTGACATGCATCATAGGTTCGCCATCACTAATCTAGGCAGTATTGAACAGTGGGGTGAAATAAATGGAAGAGAATTTAACAGGGAAAATATACAATTCTGCAAATAAGCAGGAAAAATGTAAGGCACAAGTACAGGATGGGGAAGACCTGATTTGGCAGTAGTACATGCGAAAGGCACCTAGGTATCCTTGTTTGGCCATAAGTTAAACATGAGCCAACAGTGTGATACAGGTGCTAAATAGGCAAGTGCTATCTTGGGGTGTATTAACAGGATCATAGAAAGTAATTGTTCCATTCTACTCTGCTCTGGTCAGACTCTACTTAGAGTACTGTGCCCAGGTCTAGTCAACCACAGTTCAAAAAGGACAGTGATTTGTTGGAGCAAGTTCAGAGAAGGACTACCAAGATAGTGAAGAGTCTGGAAACCAAACCCTTTACGGAATGATTAAAGGGCCTCAGTATGTATACTGTTCAGAAAATAACAGTTGATACGACAGCAGTCTTCAAACATCTGAAGGGTTGTCATCTGGAAGAGGCAGGACTTATTTTCTATTGCTCCAGAGAGTGGGACTAGAACTCACATGTAAAATTTGAAGAAACATGGTTCAGGCTGGGCATCAAGAAGAAGTTCCTAACTGAACTGTCAGCCATTAGAATAGGTTGCTATGTGACTTGGTGAGTTCTCCTGCACTATGGGCCTTCAACCAGAGGCTGGAAAGACATCTGTCAGAGATGCTCTAGTGCAATGTTTCTCAACCTTGGCAGCTTGAAGATGCGTGGATTTCAACTCCCAGAATGCTGGCTGGGGAATTCTGGAAGTCCACACATCTTCAAGTTGCCAAGGTTGAGAAACACTGCTTCAGTGCATCCTGTACTGAGCAGGGAGTTGAAATAGGTGAACTCCAAGGTAGTTTCCAGTTCCATGATTTTGTGATTCATTTTTCAAAGTCCATGTTTAGACTCACCTATCGGGTTACTGGAATCCATAGTTACTGCTGGGGCCCATGAGACCTGCTGCATTTCAGTCAGATTCAATTGGGACTGCTGAATAATCCACTGGAGTGCATCATCACTGGTCTGGTAGAAATTGCCTGCTGCATTCTCATTTGGCACTACAGCACCTGCATATACATTAATATTCACTGTTAACAAGGTTTTTGCATTGGCATGTTACAGGATAAACTCACTCAGCCTACTGATCTTACCAACATTAAATACAACACTCAACATCAATTATGCACAGATTCTTGGGGAATCTCTGCAACCCACACCATTGGATTGCACTGGTTGCTAACTGTGTGCTCATGAGCATTAACAAAGGGACAGCCAATGGAAAATATGCTTGATATGCATTTGGGAACAGGAAGCCCACAGTGTCAGAGCACAGTATTATCTCAGTTCAGTGAAGCATCTGATTATCAAAACTTTAGATTAGGCAGATGTGTTTTAAAAGGATAACCCTAACCCTTCCATATTTTTTGAATGAGCCCTTGGAATGATCATTTCTGACCTCCAATTCAGTCCCAATTCCCCAAAATGCCATTAAAAACCACAAAAGTTTTAAAGGTTAAGGAAAGCCTAGCATAACAAACACCAAAGGTCCCCAAAGCCCAAAGAAATAAAGAGCCTTTGTCATCTTAAACTCCAAAAATGTGGAAGCCATCCAGACCTTAGGGCATGAAGTGTTTCAAAGGGGTGGGGCAGCCAGAGGGAGCCCCTGCCTGTTTGATCTTGAGGGGAAGGGGGGGGTGAAGCATCGTATCCTAAGCTGATGACACAGGACAAGCATACTCAGTTTGGAGAAGATGGTCCCATTGGTGGCATGATGGCCCCATTAGTCTCATAGGGCTGTATGGCATTCCACGTCTAGTTCAAAACCAGCTGTCAAGTCCACAAAGTCCAAACCCCAATTTAGAAGAATTCTCGTGAAACCAGGCCTGGTT